TTCAATACCTAAAGGGAACCTACAGAGGGGAGGGGAATCAACTCTTTGAAAGGGTTGATATGTGTAGGACGAGGGGAAATGGCTTTAAGTTGAGGGAGAGGAGATTTAGATCGGACATCAGGGGGAAATTCTTTATCCAGAGAGTGGTGAGGTGCTGGAACAGCTGCCCAGAGAGGCTGTGATGCCCCGTCCATCCCTGGAGGTGTTCAAGGCCAGGTTGGATGGGGCCCTGGGCAGCCTGGTTTAGCATGAAACGTGGAGGTTGGTGGCCCTGCATGTGGCAGGGGGTTGGAGATTCATGATCCTTGAGGTCCCTTCCAACCCTGGCCATTCTGTGAACTCCTCATCTCCTACCACCAGACAGACTGACTCAAGCTGTAAATAACAGACTTGTGGCATCTAATGTCAACTGGCATGGCTCCAATCGCATTAATATACCATGCAACTTTGTTGCAAATGAGAAACAGACCCTTTAAGCAATTGAACGCTGAACCTTCTGGAGTTGATACAATACACAGCCAAAAAAAAAGCAAGTATTCCACAATTCACAACTGTATTGCCACTGCTTAAAAAGGTGTGAAATGCAAAATGAGCCAGAATTTTGCCAAGGTGAAGAAAATATACCTGGGAGCTGTGACCCTGCTTTTGTTAACAGGCTCTTGGCCAGGAGGAGTGACCTGCACTGGCTGAGATGGAACAGGAGCCATATCTGAACTTGCATCTGTGGTTGGGACAGAGCTGCTGGTTTTGTATGTGTCTGATAGAGGTTCAAGAACAAGTGAAACCTGAAAAACACAATAAGAAAACAGAATTTGGTCCCTTTCTTAGAGAAGTGCTGCATGTGCTCTAACTTTACTTTTCATACTACGGAAAGCTCTCACTATTTTTTTAATAATAGAAAGTGATTTTTATATCAATCAGACACGTAACACCTTAATATCCTAAAGGGAGCCTGCAGCCAGGAGGGGAGTCAGCTCTGTGAAAGGGGAGATGGCAGCAGGACAAGGGGAAATGGTTTGGAGTTGAGGGAGGGCAGATGGAGGTTGGATGTCAGGGGGAAGTTGTTTAGAGAGAGAGTGGTGAGGGGCTGGAACAGCTGCCCAGAGAGGCTGCGATGCCCCGTCCATCCCTGGAGGTGTTGGAGGCCAGGTTGGATGGGGCCCTGGGCAGCCTGGGCTGCTGTGAGATGGGGAGGTTGGTGGCCCTGCATTGGTGGGGGGTTGGAGCTTCGTGGTCCTTGAGCTCCCTTCCAACCCAACCATTCTGTGATCCTATGAATTCAAACTATTTATTTCACATCCCAAAATTGCAACTGCTCATCTTTCAGCAAAAACAAACCCCCAGGGCTGCAGCACAGAACAGCCCCTTCTCCCTGGATTTCAAAATACTCTTCAATGTCAGCCCAGAAGGGCTGTGAAGAAAAATCAGACTGGAGCATCCACTTCTAAAATCACTCTTAAAACTCACTGTAGAGTCTTACTGGAGTTGAACTACCAGTGCCACTTATTCTTCTAAGGGAGACACTGCCAACACCATTAGTAACCAAAATCTGCACTTGTGTTCTATGTTGTCCTACGCTGACTTCGTTGCTGAATGTGATGCTGCAGCTGAGCTTTTTTTCCTCTCTGAGAACCTTGATTTCTCCCCTGAGCAATTCGATCTTTCCTCAGTTTTGATTTTGGTATTTTTTCCTCAAGCATTGTAAGCAAGACTATCAAAACATGGTTTTATTTCTCTGCATACAGAAGCAAAAGAGGGAGCTTTGTTTTTGAATTTGAAGGACATACTTCAGTGAAGAAAACTTAAATGAACCACAATTGCATGAAAATGCTCCACCAGATGTTCAGAATCAACCTACAGAATGGATGATAATGGGATAAGAACGTCCCTGGATTTCTGTATTTTCTATCTAGACTTCTTACCTCAATCTGTAAACACCCTGAGACGAGGGAAAGGTGTGTAGGACACAGCACAACTGAATCCTGACACTGTACTGCATTAGAGCTTCACATGCAACAATAAAGAGCTAAGCCATAAGGAATACCTGTAGCTCTCCCAGTTTATCAGCTGTTGGTGAAACTATGGTGAAAAACCCACTGATGGGATGGCTGGGAGAGAGCTGGGACAATTCAGTGATCTGCACTCTGCCAACTGGAAGACGGTCAGGTTTGCTCAGGACCTCCAGGACAAGCATGCCCATATCTGCAATAATTAGGAACAGCTTCATTTCAGTGTGACACAACAAGGTAGCAGTTAAATAGTTGAAACTTGCCTGTTAAATTGAAAGTTCCCAGGGGTTAAAATAAAGCCGTATCATGATGTGAGACGAGGAGTAAAGAATCATTGAATCATTAAGGTTGGAAAAGACCTCTAAGAGCACCAAGTCCAACTGCAAGCCATCCCCAACGTGGCCACTGACCATGTCCCCATGTGCTATACCTCCATGGTTCTCAGAGCTCTGCTGGGCTGGGGACATCCTCTAGACATCAAGCTTCCAGTGAAAATGGAATCATAGAACCACAGAACATCCCGAGTTGGAAGGGACCCAAGGATCATAGAACCATTTCAGTTGAAAGAGACCTTTGAAGGCTATCTGCTCCCACTCCCTTGCACTAAACAGGGTCACCCACAGCTCCATAAGGCACTCAGAGTGCAGCCTGACCTTGGGTGTCTCTGAGCAACTTCTGCCAGCACCTCACTACCCTTAGCATAAACAATTTTTTCCTTATATCCAATCCAAAGCCCTTCTCTCTTAGTTTGAAACCATTTCTTCTTGTCCTATCATAACCGACTCCACTAAAGAGCCTGTCCCCTTCTTTCCTGTTGCTCCCCTTTAGACACTGACAGGCTGCTCTCAGCTCACCTCGCAGCCTTCCCTTCTTTTCTCCATCTGCACAGCCCCAGCTCTCAGCCTGTCCCTTATAGGAGAGCTGTTCCATCCCTGGGATGGTTTTTGTGGCCCTCCTCTGGATGCTGTCCAACAGCTCCATGTCTCTCCTGCACTGAGGACTCCACATCTGGACGCAGGGCTCCAGGTGAGACCTCAGAGCACAGAGCAGAGGATCACCTCTCTGACCTGCTGGCTGTGCTGCTATGGATGCAGCCTAGGATAGCTTTAGCTTCCTGGGATACAAGGGCACAGTGCTGGCTCATGTCAGGACAGGGAGGTGATTGTCCCTCTCTACTCTGCTCTCGTGAGGCCCCATCTGTAGCACTGCGTCCAGGGCTGGAGCCCCCAGCACAAGAAAGACAGGGAGCTGTTGGAGAGGGTGCAGAGGAGCCACAAAGATGAGCAGAAGGCTGCAGCACCTCCCTACAAAGACAGGCTGAGGGAGCTGGGCTTGTTCAGCATGGAGAAGAGAAGCTGCGGGGTGACCTCAGTGCAGCCTGCAGTGCCTCAAGGGAGCCTGCAGACAGGAGGGGAGTCAGCTCTGTGAAAGGGGAGATGGCAGCAGGACAAGGGGAAATGGTGTGGAGTTGAGGGAGGGCAGCTGGAGGTTGGATGTCAGGGGGAAGTTGTTTAGAGAGAGAGTGGTGAGGGGCTGGAACAGCTGCCCAGAGAGGCTGTGATGCCCCGTCCATCCCTGCAGGTGTTCAAGGCCAGGTTGGATGGGGCCCTGGGCAGCCTGGGCTGCTGTGAGATGGGGAGGTTGGTGGCCCTGCATTGGTGGGGGGTTGGAGCTTCGTGATCCTTGAGGTCCCTTCCAACCCAGGCCATTCTGTGTGATTCTGTGGTGTCCAGTTTGCTATCCACCCGTACTCTCGTTTCCTTTATGGCAGGGCTGCACTTCTTTTCTTCCCCAGCTTGCACTGATGCTTGAGGTTGCTTTGACCCAGGTTCAGATCATGCAGTTGGCTTTGCTAAACCTCATGAGGTTCTCCCAGGCCCACTGCTCAAACCACAGACCAACCCAAGCTGGGAAAAACCCGCAAGAATCATAGAGTCCAAGCCCCAGCTCCACACAGCACCACTCGAACCTAAATCCTATAGCTCAGAGCAGTGTCCCAATGCTCCCTGAGATCCTGCAGCTCAGGACTGTGCTCACTATGCTGGGGAGTCCATTTTACGCCCACCACCCTCTTGGATAGAGCCTTTCCCAAACCCCCTCTCCTGTCACAGCTCCATGCTGTTCCCTCAGGCCCTGTTGCTGTCACCAGAGAGCACAGAATCACACAGAATCACAGAATGGTTTGGGTTGGAAGGGACCTCAAGGATCACAAAGCTCCAACCCCCCTACCAATGCAGGGCCACCAACCTCCACATTTCATAGCAGCCCAGGCTGCCCAGGGCCCCATCCAACCTGGCCTTGAACACCTCCAAGGAACGGGGCAATCTGTTAAACGAAGGCAGGACCGCGGATAGCTGTGGGTCTGGAAGCCCCATCGCCGGCTCTCACCTGTGAGGTAGGCCGCGAGCTGCCGAGGCCCGCACCGCACGGCGTACCGGCTGCTGCCCGCCGCCTGTCCCGGCTTTGAGGCGGGGTGGAACACGGTACCGTCCGAAGTCTCACCCCACCACCTCAGGCGGACGAGGACGGCGGTGGAGGGCGCTTTGGAGGCCGTCCACACGATTCTGCCGATGGTGCAGCGGAGGACGCAGCGCGGAGGGCCCTCTACCAGCGGGGGCAGGCTGGTGGACGCAGGGATGTCACCGGGAGCTGCGGAACGGAGCGATGTCAGAGAACGGAGCGGAGCTACAGCGCAATGCCAGCCTTCCCCCACCCCTAACCCCGCACCTCTACGTCGCCTGCTGACTCCCGGGGCTGGGGCCGGGGCCCGCGGCCTCCTCTGCTGCATGGTTTCACCTCAGCGCTTCCCTCAGGCCGCGCCGCTGCCCGGCAACGGCCGCTCCGGCGGGAGCATCTCCCGCCTTCACCACACTTCCGGGACTACAACTCCCATCACGCACCGCGTTCTAATTGAATCCCCTAGAAACCCGGACTACGTTTCCCAGAAAGCTTCGGGGTGCCTTGCTTCCCGTGGTGCTGCGCGGCGGCGCTGTGTGTAGAGAGGCGCTTCCGGTGGGGCGGAGCGGAGTGGGGTTGGTGGCGGCCCGGGCGTTCGGTGAGGGCCGGTGCGGAGCTTTGCGTCGTGTTCGTCGTTTTCGTTGTTATGTCGGCTCTGGAGAAGCAGCTGCACCTGGGTCGGCTTCCGACGAGGCCTCCTTTGCCCGGGGGTGGCGGTCAGTCCGGCTCCAAGATGCGCATGGGGTAAGTGAGGGAGGGGGGTGGTGGGGGTCTGAGGGGAGAGAGTGAGGCCTTCGTCATTAGGGAGGGTTGGGTGCTTGCGGGAAAGGGGGGAGGGGGGTTTCGGTGGGTTCTCCGTGCTGACTGCAGCTGAGAGATGTTCAGGGGGGGAAGGGGGGCGTTATAGAGGGGTTGCAGGAGAGGGGGATTTTCTGGGGGGACTTTGTGCCTGGAGGAGGTGGGAGGGGGAGGGAGGAACGTGACGGCTGGTGGGGATGGGGGTTGGGGTGTGAGGGCCTTTCTGTGTGGGGTGGCAGCTCTGTTGAGGTGCTGAGTGGTGTGGTGGGCCTCCGTGAATGGTGTAGAAAATATAGAATCAGGGAACGGTTGGATTGTAAGAGCCCTCACAGCCCCTCCCCCCCAGCTCCAATCTCTCCATGGGCAGGGACATCTCCTACTGCCCAGTTGCTTGCAGCCCCATCTATGGCCTTGGGCGCTGCCAGGGTTGGGCACCCAGATCTCTGGGCAGCAATGTCAGGGCTGCACCACCCTCTGAGGAAAGGATTTCCTCCTTACATCTGATCTAAATGTCCCCTTTTGGGGGTTAAAACCATTGTCCCGTGCCTAGAATTCAGCTCTTTTCTCAGGAGAGTCACTAGGAAAGTTTCCTCAGGCTTTTTTTTATCCCCATATCCAGTGAGCGTCAGGGATAAAGCAGCAGGGCAGGCAAGCTGAAACAACAGGGGAAATTTAGATTAGATATTCGGAGGAAATTCTTTACTCAGAGGGCAGCAAAGCCCTAACACTGCTGTCTAGAACTGTGGGGGTCCCATCCCTGGAGGTACCCAAGGCAATGGATGAGGCTGTGGGCTGCCTAAGCCGATGAGGAGCACCCAGCCCACAGCAGGGCTTCGAGTTCTCTTCCATCCCAAGCTATTTTATGTTTCTGTGATTTAGTTAGAATTGGTGTCTTGGGACATCCCGTTGGTGGCACTCTTCTCTGAGTCCTTTAGTTTGAAGGGAGAGTCTGTGTATTGTGATATGTATGTCATGGTGGCACCTCAAAGTCAGTGAAATCATGGCTGAGGGGGAAAAGTGCTTTGAAATGCTATTTTGATGTTGTTTATCTCAGAAGGTTAAATGAAGCTGTAAAACAGGTGAACTCTGCCAAGAAATTAAGGCTGTGCTTTGAGTGATGGCAGCATTTCATCTGGGATAGGCCAGTACTGTACAGCGCAGGGTAAAGGGATGTCAAACCTCTTAAACAAGAGTGAGAACATCTTTTGGAAGCATGAGAGAAGATGGACTGGAATCAAGCTGCATGGATGGGAACTAACAAGGACTGACTGGATGAGGATATTTTCAGCAGAAGCTTTGTTCGTTAGTGAGGGGTCAGGGGGAAAAAGTGGGCTGCAAATAGGAGAGCATTGAAGTATACCAGTAACTTCATCTCCAAAGGTGTGAGGGAGAAGCTTGTGCTCCTAGCAGGTGCCTGGCTATGGTAGAAGGGGTGCAGAGTGCTTTGTGGAGTGAAGGAAGCTGGTGTTAGTCACCAGGACGTGGGCTCAGGCTGCTGTCTGTCAGCCCTGTGCAAAAGGCAGGAGAGCATAGATTGGAGTAGAATAACAGAAACAGGAGCAGTTGATTAAACCTGGAAAAAAAAATGCTTTTTAAGTGGTGTCTGAATTTCCATACAGAGATCTGGGCTGTGACAAGACCACAGGCTGACCCTGTGAGGGATGCTGCCCTCCGTGTGAGAGCTTGGGAGGGCCAGATGTGTGCTGCACAGCTCCTGATGGCATCGAGTGCTCCATTTGGAGGTTAAAAATATCCTACAATTCCTACAGGAGATCTCCTTTGCCTTGATGCATGAAATCAGATAACTGAGAGAAATAATGGAAACAGCAGCTGTAAAAGACTGAGATAAAATGTTTGGGTGTTTATGGACGTGAAAGGCATCTAAACGACAGGTAGTTCTCTCCTTTAAAACACAGTTTTAAAATGTTTCTTTTACATTGTGTTCTTAACAGTATATTTGAATGGATGCAGTGCAGTTGACTTAGTTACAATCTGAACTAATTCTAACAAATCTCCATGAAATGCATTTTTTCCTTCTAATGTGGATTAAGGAAAAGCTAAGCTCCCTATGTAAGTAATGGCATGGCCTTGAGGCTAATCAAAACGGTGGTATTTAGGGATTAATTAGAAAGAAGCAGTCCTGAATGTTGTGTTGTAAAGCATGAGTTCACTCAGCTCTGTTGTGAGAGTCTTGGGATTACACAGGAGCGTGCAGAATGTTACATGTGGTACATATGAAACTAGATTTAATACTGGCTATTTAATTATGCCACTTAAAATGGGACTAACCAAGTTTCAATGTATTTCAGAGCAGTTTTGTGGACTTTAAACTTTGTCAGCAAGCTAATTCTTTCCATAAAGCAGCGCACACCTGATGGCACTGTAAACAAATCCCCTGTTTAATTAAGTCTTCATAGCTCGCTAATAAACATAAAGACTTCCAATGTTGGTGTTCAGGTCCAGGGGAAGGAAAATGAGTTTGCAGTTGGTGTTGCTGCTGGTGTTGGCTCCTGCCAGATGCTTCCTGGAGGCAGTTGTTCCTGTGGTAGTGATAAAAGGCAGGACTCCATTTCCTGCAGCATCAGGTGAGCTGCGTTCTGCTGGAATCAGTTGGGTGATGGAGGCAGTGCTGTCTGCTGGGGATTGGCTGCAAAGGGCTGCTGTGCTGTGGGATGCATCTCCCATGTCAGTGTTGTTGCTGGACATCCGCTCTCATGATAATTTTGATTAGGAAAATAAGGAAATAAAGGCTGCCCAAACTTAATGAGGTGCAGATCCAGCACCTGTGATACTTCTTGCTTCTCTTATCCTTGATGGATAAACAAATGCATTTCAATTCAGCCTCTGCAAGGTTGATTCTAATTGATTTTGTGACGGGTATCTGTGGGGTATTTCTCCAGTTGAGTAATGTTTGTGTTGGCAGAGTGCTTCTTGGTCACAATGCTGTAAGCTATGTCATGCCTCCCATCTTTCCAATCTTTGGAAGGTTTTTGAATGCTTCATGTCAGAGAGGGAAGCGGCCGTGGAGGGATGTTGGTTTTCTGTTGTTTTATAACACTGTCAGTCTTTTCTTTTTTCCTTTCAAAATCTTTCAGAAGAGTCTGTTGTTGTGGGTGGGGATCAAAGCTTCACATGTCCTTCCCTCAGTGGCAGCTGGATGCAGTTTATAGTCACACTGTGGTCACGCAGCCCTGGTTGCTCCGTGGGCTCAGCGCTTTGTCTCCTGTCACCTTTTCTTCTCCCATCCTGTTGATCTCGTCCTACGTTATGGTTGGTTTTGGACAGCAGTGCCCAAAACTGGAAACTGATTGGATTCTTTCACACACCTGTGGACTGGAAGGATTATTTCACGTATAGGAAGGAAGTTACCATCCACAAATGCACCCCTCAGTGGATTGTTTCTTTGTTTTTAATGGCTCTACTCAGGTCGTTTTCATAGAATCATCAGAGAACGGCCTGGGTTGCAAAGGAGCTCAATGCTCATCCAGCTCCAAGCCCTGCTGTGTGCAGGTCGCCAAGCAGCAGCCCAGGCTGCCCAGAGCCACATCCAGCCTGGCCTTGAATGCCTGCAGGGATGGGGCATCCACAGCCTCCTTGGGCAACCTGTGCCAGTGCCTCACCACCCTCTGTGAAACCCTCTGAAAAGATGAGGTTTAGCTACCAAAGGAGGATTTGATCAGCTATTCTTTGACAAGTGTGTGACTTTCAGCAGTGGCAAATCTAGAAGGCTCTACTGAAGTGATCCTTTAAAAATCAAACTCTTATAGGGAACAAAAGTAATTAAAATTAGAGGAAGGTTTGTTTGCTCTGCTATCATCTTTTATTTATAAATCTAGTTTGTTTCTGGGCACTGATGAATTTCTTAACTTGAAAGCAGGGCCATTAATTAGAATGTATTTAAACTCAATATCCAGCAGTCCTGGCAAGCTGGTTGTTCTACAGATAAATGCTTTGCTTCTTGTGCACTGTTCCTCTCGTTGGAATGTTGGGTACATTTTGTTTTTTGTATTAATTCTATCTTTTTCATCAGCCAGGCAGGCCGTGCTCATGACTGCATGGGGTGCTTGAAAGAAGAGAGTGCAGTAAGTGAGACTGCAAGTAGGAAAAAAGACCTGAATGCAGCCCTGAGGTTTCTCAGGCATCAGCCATCCTTGGCATAAAGGCAAGTTGCAAGGGTAGGATGCTTCCTTCAAAGCACTGTTTTCAGATATCAGCTTGGTGAGGAAGCCTTTGTCACGAGTACAGAGGAATGCTCAGCCCAAATACCTTCTTAAACTCTTTGACAGAAAAGATGTAATGTTGTGGATGCCCCATGCCTGGAGGCTGGCTGAATGTGGCTCTGGGCAGCCTGGTCTGGTGGTTGGCAACCCTGCAGATAGCAGGGGGTTGAAATTAGATGATGATTGTGGTCCTTTTCACAGAATCACCCGGGTTGGAAGGGACCTCAAGGATCACACAGTTCCAACCCCCCTGCCCAGCAGGGCCACCAAACATCCACATTCAGATCAGGTTGCCCAGGACCCCGTCCAACCTGGCCTTGAACACGTCCAAGGACGGGGCATCCACAACCTCCCTGGGCAGCCCGTTCCAGGCCCTAACCACTCTCCTTGTAAAGAACTTCCCCCTAACATCCAACCTCAATCTTCCCTCCTTCAACTTGGATCCTTTTCCCCTAGTCCTGCTGTTGTCAGCCCTTTGGAAGAGTTTACTCCCCTCCTGGCTGTAGGTTCCCTTCAGGTATTGATAGGCTGCAATGAGGTCACCCCGCAGCTTCTCTTCTCCAGGCTGAACAAGCCCAACTCCCTCAGCCTGTCCTCATAGGGGAGGTGCTCCAGCCCCCTGCTCATCTCAGTCGCCCTCCTCTGGACCCTTTCCAAGATCTCTATGTCTTTCTTGTACTGAGGGCTCCACACCTGGACACAGGACTCCAGATGGGGCCTCACAAG